CTTGGACTTGCGCTTAGCAGCACTCGTAGATGATGCCCATCGGGGCCAGGTGGGAATCCGGGTTAAGGACCTCTTCACAGTTGAAGCTGTAGATGCGGGCACGCACTTCCGTTGGAGTTCATCGCCCACAGTAGGAGAAGATCTGGCCACCTTCAATCCGTCCAACACCAAACGCATGGAAACAGACATAATGGTCACGCTATGCAGAGAAAATTTTTGTGCCGCTATGTCGTGAAGTCCTCCTGGAAAGCAGGTACACCACTCGGATTTCCCAGATACCTAAGCTACAGGTCAGTGGACAATTGGCATGGAACCCCGATGCAAGACTCAGGGGAATGGAGGTTGTCTGGCGGAAAGACTCGGAGGAAATCAGTGCACCCGTTGAGGAAGTTGTCAGTGACAACGAAGGGAGTCGTCATTTGCAGAGCACACTGCAACCCTACACTATTGGTATGCTAGCTGTAGAACTACCTAGAACTGTACATTCTCGTCATTTGCAGAGCACACTGCAACCCTACACTATTGGTACTGCTAGCTGTAGAACTAGAGTGTAGAAACATATTACTCTCCTAGGTATGTATGATAAACCTCTACACACCTTGCCAAGATCTGTGATGATGTGGTTCGTGTAGGTTCGATGAGGTTCGATGTGCTTGAACCACCCCGAACTAGTGCATAAGCACCCTGCACACAGAGTTTGACACGTGAGTTCGGGGTGGGTCGACCGTACCGAAATGGGGGAAACGAGGTGTACAGGGTGCTTATGCACTAGCTCGGGGTGGTTCAAGCACACTGAACCTCTTCGAACCTTCTCGAACCACATCATTGCCACAGCTAGCATGGGCGCAAAGGCGTTTGAACAATGCGCAAGCGCAGAATATCAGCGGCGCGCGGGCTTCAAAGTCGTCATCGGAGGGACAGCGGTACGCAGTCGGATGCGGCCAATGCGGCCTACCCGCAGCGCCCCCAAGACTTCAAAATTGTACTTGGCGGGACAGCGGTACCCAGTCAGTGCGGTAGATGTGCTTGAACCACCCGGAACTATTGCTTAAGCACCCTGCACTCCTTGTTTCCCCTGTAACGATGTAGATAGAGAAGGTTCGGTACAGTCAAACCACCCGAACTCATGTGAAAGAATCTACATACCTGCTCTCTCTGCAATGATGTAGTTTCAAGTAGGTTCGAGGAGGTTCGATTGCCTTGAACTACCCCAAACCAGTGCATAAGCATCCTGCACAAATTGCTTCCCCTCTAAAGATGTAGTTAGAGAAGGTTCGGTACAGTCGAACCAACCCGAACTCATGTGAAAGAACTCTACATACCTTGCTCTCTCTGCAATGATGTAGTTCAAGAAGGTTCGAGGAGGTTCGATGCACTTGAACTACCCCGAACCAGTGCATAAGCATCCTGCACAAATTGCTTCCCCTCTAAAGATGTAGTTACAGAATGTTCGGTACAGTCGAACCACCCCGAACTCATGTGAAAGAACTCTACACACCTTGCTCTCTCTGAAATAATGTGGTTCAAGAAGGTTCGAGGAGGTTCGATGCACTTGAACTACCCCGAACCAGTGCATTCCTGCACAAATTGCTTCCCCTCTAAAGATGTAGTTACAGAAGGTTCGGTACAGTCGAACCAACCCGAACTCATGTGAAAGAACTCTACATACCTTGCTCTCTCTGCAATGATGTAGTTCAAGAAGGTTCGAGGAGGTTCGATGCACTCCCCGAACCACTGCATAAGCATCCTGCACAAATTGCTTCCCCTCTAAAGATGTAGTTAGAAAAGGTTCGGTACAGTCGAACCACCCCGAACTCATGTAAAAGAACTCTACACACCTTGCTCTCTCTGTAATGATGTAGTTCAAGAAGGTTCGAGGAGGTTCGATGCACTTGAACTACCCCAAACCAGTGCATAAGCATCCTGCACAAATTGCTTCCCCTCTAAAGATGTAGTTAGAGAAGGTTCGGTACAGTCGAACCAACCCGAACTCATGTGAAAGAACTCTACACACCTTGCTCTCTCTGCAATGATTAAGTTCAAGAAGGTTCGAGGCACTTGAACTACCCCGAACCAGTGCATAAGCATCCTGCACAAATTGCTTCCCCTCTAAAGAAGTAGTTAGAGAAAGTTCGGTACAGTCGAACCACCCCGAACTCATGTGAAATAACTCTACACACCTTGCTCTCTCTGCAATGATGTAGTTCAAGAAGGTTCGAGGAGGTTCGATGCACTTGAACTACCCCGAACCATTGAATAAGCATCCTGCACAAATTGCTTCCCCTCTAAAGATGTAGTTAGAGAAGGTTCGGTACAGTCGAACCAACCCGAACTCATGTGAAAGAACTCTACACACCTTGCTCTCTCTGCAATGATTAAGTTCAAGAAGGTTCGAGGCACTTGAACTACCCCGAACCAGTGCATAAGCATCCTGCACAAATTGCTTCCCCTCTAAAGATGTAGTTAGAGAAGGTTCGGTACAGTCGAACCACCCCGAACTCATGTGAAAGAACTCTACACACCTTGCTCTCTCTGCAATGATGTAGTTCAAGAAGGTTCGAGGAGGTTCGATGCACTTGAACTACCCCGAACCAGTGCATAAGCATCCTGCACAAATTGCTTCCCCTCTAAAGATGTAGTTAGAAAAGGTTCGGTACAGTCGAACCACCCCGAACTCATGTAAAAGAACTCTACACACCTTGCTCTCTCTGTAATGATGTAGTTCAAGAAGGTTCGAGGAGGTTCGATGCACTTGAACTACCCCGAACCATTGCATAAGCATTCTGCACAAATTGCTTCCCCTCTAAAGATGTAGTTAGAGAAGGTTCGGTACAGTCGAACCAACCCGAACTCATGTGAAAGAACTCTACATACCTTACTCTCTCTGCAATGATGTAGTTCAAGGAGACCACGCAGTTAACACAGACAGAGACACACATCATGCACATTGACCTACAAGCAAAAAAGATTGTTTAGGTATTCTAATGAAAGTATGAAATGCTATGATTCCAACCCAGGGCCCCCACTGTCTGAAAATTTTTGGGACTGACTTGTATGTGGGTGTGTTTGTGCTAGAACAGTACACGGGAGGGCCTCACCACTTGTACTGTATATACAACCTGTGTCCTTTCTCTGCTAACAGGGACAGTGACGGACCATCAACGCAGTCTGTTACATTGCTATTGAACAAATCAATACTGAGATTGCCTTGTACCGCACAAGGTGACTTCCAACTTTTCTTCGCTCTCCAGTTTTTCAGCCTTGGACTTGCGCTTAGCAGCACTCGTAGATGATGCCCATCGGGGCCAGGTGGGAATCCGGGTTAAGGACCTCTTCACAGTTGAAGCTGTAGATGCGGGCACGCACTTCCGTTGGAGTTCATCGCCCACAGTAGGAGGAAGATCTGGCCACCCTTCAATCCGTCCAACACCAAACGCATGGAAACAGACATAATGGTCACGCTATGCAGAGAAATTTTTGTGCCGCTATGTCGTGAAGTCCTCCTGGAAAGCAGGTACACCACTCGGATTTCCCAGATACCTAAGCTACAGGTCAGTGGACAATTGGCATGGAACCCCGGATGCAAGACTCAGGGGAATGGAGGTTGTCTGGCGGAAAGACTCGGAGGAAATCAGTGCACCCGTTGAGGAAGTTGTCAGTGACAACGAAGGGAGTCGTCATTTGCAGAGCACACTGCAACCCTACACTATTGGTACTGCTAGCTGTAGAACTACCTAGACTGTACATTCTCGTCATTTGCAGAGCACACTGCAACCCTACACTATTGGTACTGCTAGCTGTAGAACTAGAGTGTAGAAACATATTACTCTCCTAGGTATGTATGATAAACCTCTACACACCTTGCCAAGATCTGTGGATGATGTGGTCTTGGTAGGTTCGATGAGGTTCGATGTGCTTGAACCACCCCGAACTAGTGCATAAAGCACCCTGCACACAGAGTTTTGACACGTGAGTTCGGGGGTGGGTGACCGTAACCGAAACTGGGGGAAACGAGGTGTACAAGGGTGCTTATGCACTAGCTCGGGGTGGTTCAAGCACACTGAACCTCTTCGAACCTTCTCGAACCACATCATTGCACAGCTAGCATGTGCGCAAAGGGCGTTTGAACAACGCGCAGCGCAGAATATCAGCGGCGCGCGGGCTCAAAAGTCGTCATCTGAGGGACAGCGGTAACGCAGTCGATGCGGTCAATGCGGCCTACCCGCAGCGCCCCCAAGACTTCAAATGTACTTGGCGGGACAGCGGTACCCAGTCAGCTGCTGCGCTTGAACCACCCCGAACTATTGCTTAAGCACCCTGCACTCCTTGTTTCCCCTGTAACGATGTAGATAGAGAAGGTTCGGTACAGTCAAACCACCCCGAACTCATGTGACAAATCTCTCCACACCTTGCTATCTCTGTGGTGTTGTTCGAGTAGGTTCGATGAGGTTCGATGTGCTTGAACCACCCCGAACTTCTGTGATAAGCATCCTGCACAAATGCTCTCCCCTCTAATAGCCTTCATTTGAGGCGTTTAGAGAAGGTGCGTACGTGCTTGAACCACCCGAACTCATGTGAAAAACTCTACAACCTCGCTCTCTCTGCAATGATTCAGTTCAAGAGAGGTTCGATGGTTCGATGTGCACTTGAACTACCCCGAACTATATGAAAAAACATACGCACTCACTCGCTAATATTGTTCCCCTCTGAGGAGGTTGATGAAGTTCGATGTGCTTGAACCACTGGAAATTACACACTCGCTCCGAACCACCCTCCGAACTCATGTGAAAGAACTCTACACACCTTGCTCTCTCTGAAATAATGTGGTTCAAGAAGGTTCGAGGAGGTTCGATGCACTTGAACTACCCCGAACCAGTGCATTCCTGCACAAATTGCTTCCCCTCTAAAGATGTAGTTACAGAAGGTTCGGTACAGTCGAACCAACCCGAACTCATGTGAAAGAACTCTACATACCTTGCTCTCTCTGCAATGATGTAGTTCAAGAAGGTTCGAGGAGTTCGATGCACTACCCCGAACCAGTGCATAAGCATCCTGCACAAATTGCTTCCCCTCTAAAGATGTAGTTAGAAAAGGTTCGGTACAGTCGAACCACCCCGAACTCATGTAAAAGAACTCTACACACCTTGCTCTCTCTGTAATGATGTAGTTCAAGAAGGTTCGAGGAGGTTCGATGCACTTGAACTACCCCGAACCAGTGCATAAGCATCCTGCACAAATTGCTTCCCCTCTAAAGATGTAGTTAGAGAAGGTTCGGTACAGTCGAACCAACCCGAACTCATGTGAAAGAACTCTACACACCTTGCTCTCTCTGCAATGATTAAGTTCAAGAAGGTTCGAGGCACTTGAACTACCCCGAACCAGTGCATAAGCATCCTGCACAAATTGCTTCCCCTCTAAAGATGTAGTTAGAGAAAGTTCGGTACAGTCGAACCACCCCGAACTCATGTGAAAGAACTCTACACACCTTGCTCTCTCTGCAATGATGTAGTTCAAGAAGGTTCGAGGAGGTTCGATGCACTTGAACTACCCCGAACCAGTGCATAAGCATCCTGCACAAATTGCTTCCCCTCTAAAGATGTAGTTAGAGAATGTTCGGTACAGTCGAACCACCCCGAACTCATGTGAAAGAACTCTACACACCTTGCTCTCTCTGCAATGATGTAGTTCAAGAAGGTTCGAGGAGGTTCGATGCACTTGAACTACCCCGAACCATTGCATAAGCATTCTGCACAAATTGCTTCCCCTCTAAAGATGTAGTTAGAGAAGGTTCGGTACAGTCGAACCAACCCGAACTCATGTGAAAGAACTCTACATACCTTACTCTCTCTGCAATGATGTAGTTCAAGGAGACCACGCAGTTAACACAGACAGAGACACACATCATGCACATTGACCTACAAGCAAAAAAGATTGTTTAGGTATTCTAATGAAAGTATGAAATGCTATGATTCCAACCCAGGCCCCCCACTTGTCTGAAAATTTTTTGGGACTTGACTTGTATGTGGGTGTGTTTGTGTTAGAACAGTACACGGGAGGGCTCACCACTGTACTGTATATACAACCTGTGTCCTTTCCTCTGCTACAGGGACAGTGACGGACCATCAACGCAGTCTGTACATTGCTATTGAACAAATCAATACTGAGATTGCCTTTGTACCGCACAAGGTGACTTCCAACTTTTCTTCGCTCTCCAGTTTTTCAGCCTTGGACTTGCGCTTAGCAGCACTCGTAGATGATGCCCATCGGGGCCAGGTGGGAATCCGGGTTAAGGACCTCTTCACAGTTGAAGCTGTAGATGCGGGCACGCACTTCCGTTGGAGTTCATCGCCCACAGTAGGAGGAAGATCTGGCCACCCTTCAATCCGTCCAACACCAAACGCATGGAAACAGACATAATGGTCACGCTATGCAGAGAAATTTTTGTGCCGCTATGTCGTGAAGTCCTCCTGGAAAGCAGGTACACCACTCGGATTTCCCAGATACCTAAGCTACAGGTCAGTGGACAATTGGCATGGAACCCCGGATGCAAGACTCAGGGGAATGGAGGTTGTCTGGCGGAAAGACTCGGAGGAAATCAGTGCACCCGTTGAGGAAGTTGTCAGTGACAACGAAGGGAGTCGTCATTTGCAGAGCACACTGCAACCCTACACTATTGGTACTGCTAGCTGTAGAACTACCTAGAACTGTACATTCTCGTCATTTGCAGAGCACACTGCAACCCTACACTATTGGTACTGCTAGCTGTAGAACTAGAGTGTAGAAACATATTACTCTCCTAGGTATGTATGATAAACCTCTACACACCTTGCCAAGATCTGTGATGATGTGGTTCGTGTAGGTTCGATGAGGTTCGATGTGCTTGAACCACCCCGAACTAGTGCATAAGCACCCTGCACACAGAGTTTTGACACGTGAGTTCGGGGTGGGTTGACCGTACCGAAATGGGGGAAACGAGGTGTACAGGGTGCTTATGCACTAGCTCGGGGTGGTTCAAGCACACTGAACCTCTTCGAACCTTCTCGAACCACATCATTGCACAGCTAGCATGTGCGCAAAGGCGTTTGAACAACGCGCAAGCGCAGAATATCAGCGGCGCGCGGGCTTCAAAGTCGTCATCTGAGGGACAGCGGTACGCAGTCGGATGCGGTCAATGCGGCCTACCCGCAGCGCCCCCAAGA